TCACCTCCTGCAAATAGCGAGCTTTTAATGATTAAACAGGCGGTGTTACCAGAAGACTGATCGGGTATTATACAACTTGTGTACGAATTTTTTACAAAAACACGAATTATGCGAATTACTAATCGATTTTGCGTACAGTGATGTATCTTTAGGTATTTTCAGGTTGTTTAGTTCGTAGATTGTCACATTATTTTGGATATCCACAGAGCATTATTTGACAAAAGAGGGAAAAGGTGATAAAAAGTAAATTAATATATTATGTTTGAATTATAATTAAGATGCCGCAGATTATGTTTGCTACATTTGTTTGAAAAATTTCAACCCAAAATGCCTGAAAAGCTTCGTTAGAGCTTTTCTCTAAAACTGTGTATCTTAACTCTGAATCAGTATACATGCCGACGCCACCCGCTGAAAGAGGTGTCGGGACGTATTCAAAAGTGTAACCTGGAATTTCAGGATTGAAGTCCATAGAATTTGCAATTCTAATTCTGGTTTCGGTTACTCCAATAACACTGAAATGATAATTAAGTTCATCGAGCAAATGGGTTTGGGAGTTTTCGAGATTACCTTTTAAGCTGCTAACATTGTTACGAAAAAAAGATAAATGACTATCAGAACGTTGTTCATTTAACTGATTTTTTAGCTGACTAAAACTATACGGGGAATAGTATTTACAGCGGATAGGATAAATAGCAGAGAAATCTGTGTCGTAAAATTTACTGTTTACAGAGTTCAGACTGAAGATATCAATGTCATATAGGCTAGGTAATCGTTCAAGATATTTTTTAGAAGGAAGGTTATCATTTGTTAAGAGATTATTATATTTGCCATGGCACTGGATTATGGAGCTCTGCCCACGGTACGGTAATTCAAGGAAGAAAGCTTTATTTTGCTTAACTTCGGTTGAAATCGGCATTGCTAAATATTAGAGCACTAAAATCTTCTAGTTACAGTCATACAAATACTTAGCTGAGCGCTTCCTGTTCATCTTGGATGATCCGAGAGAGATCGTCAGGGCACCGGACTTTTAAAGAACGGGAGTCTTCTGATCTGCGAAGGAAAATGGTTCCGTTTTTGACCCAGCAGAACTGAAAACCAAACCTGGTCTTGAATGACTTGGCGTTCCCGTACAACTCCTGCATTCTCGGTGTAAGATGGTCAAGGATTAATATTTTGGACATGTCCTGACTCTCTTCTAAACCAACGTCTCGAGCCGCCACACTCGAGGCATGCCTTCTCGCCGCCATGACATTATTTCGTCATCGTCAGACGTCATCTGTGATCTATTACTGAACAGACGCACGGCAACTTGGAATCTATTTGTTAATCTGATAACTCTTCAAATCTCTTCACAATTCTATTGCACTGCCTTGCAGACAAGTAACAAGAACTATGCTGACCATCAGCTAAGAAATATGGTCATGACAGGACATGGCATTTTGGGAGAAGACAACGTAGATGTATGGTTGCTATGAAGAATAGAAGCTTTCTGATTATTGAATAGGAATGAAAAAACCTTCAAAGAAATTATATAACTTGGTCAGCCCCAAGGAAAAAAATATGAAAAAAGAGACCAAAAAACAAAGCAAAGCAAAACAAAGTAGGAAGGTTTTCGGATAGATATGGGAACGCAAAAGCTTCGTGAAGAGGAGCTCGTAATATTCCTTTAGTTTTTGCTTTTAATGTGCCCCTAATTGCTTAAAATATTCTATTCTGTAATGTTATTGGTGACTTTATTACTCGGAAAATGTTATCGACCTTAGTAAGACCCCGAAAGACTATTTTCAAGAGCACAATTTACTTGCTTAACAAGAGGGGGGGAAGGATGGGGTTGAGGGGGTGAAGGGGTGAGGGGAGCTTGAAAGGTGACAGGGCTGACCGCCCATATCCAACTGTAAAGAAACATCGCAATTTGTGAACCCACTTATGTCAAGAGTTTGTTGTGGATCTGTCATTAACAGCCGATTATCATTTGTTTTCCACCCATCTTGTGGCTATACTGAAACTTTCACTTTATGATTTGGTCAGTCAATCAATCAATGAACATCAATTGATACTTTATTTACAATAGGTTAAAAAGTCAAAAGCATCAGAGCTGATGTGGACTTACATGTACCATATACGACAATACTCTATTGATCAAAAGTTTAAAGTGTAAATCAAAATGTTTCTGAACAGTAGTCAATAACAAATGTAATTTTGGTATTTATTCGAGATTGTAGAGGCTTTCTTCTGAAATAACATGTTGTCGGTTATATTTCAAGCTAAAGGCCCTCTACATCTCAGAGAAGTTCTCCCTAAATCTAAGTTAAGTTGTGGTTATTTAAGACTTGGGGGGTTGCGTATAATGTAATCAGTAACTAACTGCTCTTACAAAAAAGACAAAATATCATCTACTGCCATATTATTATGTACCTTGTAAATAAGTAAAAGCAATTTTCCAGTTTCATACATATTTAAATATGAATCCCTTATAGTCAAGGATAAAACATTCTGAGTGTCTCAAGGCAGTAAATGTATGATTTTAGCAACACATGCATGTATATACTCAAGCCTTAATTATGAGGAGCATGTGCGTCATTGTAAACTGCAGTCAAATATATACTTTCTATTACATTTTAAGTAGGTCCAAGGCTTTTTAAACTTTGTGGATAACAAAATATAGATACAACAGACGGTTTTTATTTTGGTAACAAAATATAGATACAACAGACGGTTTTTATTTTGGAAAAAAATTATGCCATCGTTTACTATAAGCTTCACCTAAATACTAATTCAATGGTAGAAGTTGCATTGAAGCTACTCACAACATTCAATTTAGTGGTGTCGTTATATATACGTATCAACATACTGACTTAGGTTTAGCGCGGACTTCAGTTCAAATAGTTTTCTTGCGTAGGTTTAGCTTCAATCAATTCGAAAGCTTCAACGTCCCCCTCCCCCCCCCCAGAAAACTGCCCGGGCATTTGAACTTTTAAGACTGGCTCGTTCAAATTCCCGTCCCCAGGGGCCAAATTGTTAAGTAGGTCCAGGTGAATAACAAAACACGGATACAACAGACAGTTTTTCATAATAATAAAAACAAATTATGGCATCGTTTACTTTAAGTTACACCTAAATACTAATCCAATGGTATAAATTGCATTGAAGCTACTAACAACATTCAATTTAGTGTATGGTGTCATCATATATACGTATCAACTTGCTAACTGAGGTTTAGCGCGGGCTTTAGTTCAAATTGTTTTCTTGTCGGCCAAGCGTCGATCAATTCAAAAGCTTCAACATCCTCTCCCCCGAAAACTCCCCGGGCATTTGAACTTTTTAAGACTGGCTCGTTCAAATTCCCGTTTCTTAGGGCCAAAATTGTGTTCAAACACCCTACTCAAATGCTAGATTTGATGGTCAATTTGTTTGCAAAAAGCAAGATTAGCGACTAAGACTTTCTTGTAGATCTTTTCTTCTGAGCCATCTGCTTGCGAAAGTAAACTCTTTACCTTTAAACTTTGGTTCTCACTTTCATCTCGGTGCGTTTTAGTGAGTAACGATAGCCTCTGAAAGAATGCCAGTTGACCCCATTAGCAAAAGACACTTGGGAGCCATTGAGGTACAATCCGTTTAGATTGGAGTAATGACAGCTTCTGTACCACCAGGCTCCCTTGAAGTGTTGGGAGCAGTGGTGGCTGCTATCTGGGTCATTGTCTTGATCATTCGTAGAAAACCTCATACTGCTGAAATGAAATCAAATTTCATGTAAGCTTGTTTTCACCATGTTTAGACACATAGAAAGCAAAAATTATTTTTTATTTATTCACGATATTTATACAGGCTGACCAAGTTCAGCTTTAGAGCTGGTTTGGATGGTAGCCTATACAAACTAATAACAACCAGGCCAGACCAAAACACAGGGAATTTCTTTCTCTTCTCTTTGCGAAAAGTACGTGGGTTCTTTAACACCCCCTGCTGACCAGTAGAGAGAAGATGCAGGAGACGGGGGCCTACGGTTTATCGTCCTTTTTCAAGAAGCTTTGAACGTTTATCTATTTGCGGGTGTTAAAGCAAAGGTGGCACATTCTTGGCAGTCTATGTTATTGGATTACGTAATCAAATCACGTGACTTATGAGATTGGAATCTTGAAAAACTGTTGAGATCTCAATCTTACTCACGTAAGTCTCACATATTACTAGAAGTGTACGTTGATGTAGTTAGTTTGAGGCTCACGAAAGTATCTTGGTTTATCAGTTCCTTGCATATATAAAGTTAGGGCCTTTCCGCACTAGCTAGGCTCTTACCGATAGTGCTCGTAAAAAAAGCATTAAATGTTTAAAGCAGTGCTTTTTTTTTGCCAAAAAAAAGCTAAAAAATGCCAATTTTTTACAAAATTTCTCGTGGGTTACATAAAAATGCTCACTTTTTTCCCGATTTTTTAAACATAGAATATTTTTATAGTCTTATTTTTTTCACTGATTGATGGCTCTCGAGCTATCTCTGCCTTGGCTGGCTGACTTCCATTGTCCCTCGATGACAACGTGGATGACGCCATCTTGGAAAGAGTGTGGTGAACTGGGTTTCTAGAAGGCAACCGCTGACCTATCAAACCTATTTCTCAAGCCTCCTCGGCTCCTTTGACTAAAATGAGGGCAAAATGAGGCTTTGGACGACATTAATAAAGTCAGATTGTGCTTTTTTACACAAAATTATACAAACAATCAGTCGGAAATTCAAAATAATGCTAGCAGTGCTTTTTGGAATAAAATGTAAAAAAAAAATGCTCGCGAAGCCAAATAATGCCTAAAAAGTACTAGCACTATCAGTAAGAGCCTAGCACTAGCGAATAAGTTGTTTTCTGTCATCATCAACATTTTGCAAGTGCAGATGGTTTGTCGTGATTTGACAAATTTTGTCCGAGGCAGATAAATCTTCTAACGCACCGCCGACAAGATTTGTCCCAGATAAAAACTGAACAAAATCGACTGAATAAACAAAACCGTGATAAACTTGTCGATCATTTGTCATAAAAGCTAAGACTAGCCTGTAAATGAACTGAAATCAATAGAGTAGGAAGGCAATAATAACCTTTTGTTGCAAAACACGAGGACTCAAAATTTTAAAAAAACTTGGACAAATCCTGGAAATTGGAGGTTTAATCTTTTGGCAAACTCGGCTGGCCGGTCTTAAGAACATACCAGGCGCTGACGGAATTTGACGGCTTTGAAATTTTTTTGATGCGGATGCCACAGACGAAGCAAAAAGTTTGCCCGTTAGTGCAAAAAGGCCGTTTCCTTATTTTTCAATAGGTTTTTTTATTTCGTTTTGTTTCTATTTCAGCATCTAATCGTTCTAAACCTCAATCGTTTAGTCCGTCAAAAGTTCTTTTTTTCTTTTCTATTTCCACCGTCGTATCTTTAAATTTCAATACAGAATGCCTCTACTTTGTTGACACTATGTTGATACCGGAGTTTCTCTCATGATAATGAACGATGAAACCAGTCAGCTCGATAGAACAGGATAGAGAGAAAAAACCTGACAGTCGTGCAGTTTTTGTTGGACGTAGAACCTATGTAATTAAACTTAATAGCGATTGCAGAATGATTCAAAATTTAAACGAAGATGGTGACCAATAAAACATAAAACTCCCAAAATAAACATCAAAGCTAGACGTTTTCATTTGTTTTATCTGAGAATGTTTCTCTAAGATACAAAATTCAAACTAGATGTGATAAGCCGTTCATGATTAGTTCCCTTCGATATGAATTTCTAAAGCTACACCCCTAGTCGAAACATGCTTCCCGCGGTTGGAAATGGATTCTCTCTCAGTCAACCTGAATTCCTTTCTTACCTATGTGCCGTCATAGAGTCACCAGCGGTGCCCTTGTATCCCCCAATCAAAAGCCGGTACTTGTCAGCTTCGTCTGCCACACTGAAATTCGTGTACTCAGCGTACGTGATGTTCCCTTCAAAGTCTTCCAGATCAACTCTCAACATAACGTCATCAGCGGCTGTTAAACGGTGAAGATTGTCGTTTCCAAGCCAGAACTCTCCGCTCAGACTCCCGAAGCCGTTTTTGTAGGATTCCCATTGAAGATAGAAGTCAACAGAGCCGTCCAAGCGTTTCTGAAAAACGGTCCAGCCTCCACCGTCTGTGGTCATGTCACAAAACACCTGGATTGGTTTGCCGCCATCTGGATTGATGGTGTACACGCCACTAGAATTGAAACCATCTTGAAACAATTGAGAGCAGCTTTTTGGTTCTATTGCGAGGAAACAAAAGAACCTATTCAAGCTCACCTCTTTATGTGATTATGGAGGCTTTTTCCATGACTAAGTAAAGGGATATATACCTACCGCAAGGTTTTCCTGTGAAGCCGTGCTTACACTGGCATCGAACGCTGTCATCTTGATAGTTGGGAACGCATATACTATGATCACCACATTGGAAACTGTCCTCTTCACACGAGCTCTAGAGAGAAAAGTTGTGTCAAGTAAACTCCTACACATTTGTAAGTCAAAGGAGTTCGTTTCTTTCAATGGCACAGGGATATTCGAAGGATGGACACTCATTTTGTTGCGGACAGGATTTGCACAAATTACTTTGCGATACGGTCTTCGGCTTGTGCACCCTGTTACGTGCAACAGGAAACTTGTAGTAGGTTGGGAAGTAAACAAAGTCGATGAGACTGTATACAACTCTCTTTCTTAGGAAAAGAGAGACCTCGTATGTTAGGTTTCTGGTATAAATAATGATGATGGTGATGATGGTGTGATGATGAATAGAAGTTATTATTATCGTCACTGCCACAATCATTACTTTTATCAGTATCTTTTTATCATCACTGACGGTGGTTATAGCCATGAGTGAGTCCCCTTAATAAATAAACCAAGTCTTCCTACAATATGTGACAATTTTATTCCGAAGCGCAACAGAATACATATCCTTTCCTTTTGGATATCAAAACGCGACTAGTTCACTTGAAAGATTTACTTCAAAAGAAAAGCAAGGATGAAGGCTCTATTTTTGCCAGTATATATCAGACCAATTTATATTGTCTTTAATAGCTTCTCAGCAGGTATTCATCGCCAAAATGACCTCAAAGTCATCTAAATCATTTTTCACGAAAACCCAGCTTTTTTTGTTAGTCGAGTCTCTTTACCTTAACGCTAACAGCGGACTAATTTCTATCACGATCGTTGTCGGATCTTCTTTTGCCGATAAGTTAAAGCGTGGGACCAAGTTACTTTCGTCAAGGAGAAAAAAATAAGAAATGAAACTTAAATACTTTAAAGTTAATCAATATTTTAAAGAAACTCCGTCTCGATTAAACACAAAGTGACAGATTTTGTTAGCTTACCTTTATTCCCCTGTAAATGAAATCTTTATCCTCAATAAATTTAACAAATCCAGCAAATCGATCAGAGTCGCTTAGTTGACACTTGAATTTGTTTGAGTCGCCCTTTATGGTTCCAAAGTTGTAAGACTGACATCGCTCTTCATTTACACACTCAAGCTGACAGGAACTTTCCAAATCCACTTGTATATTTCTTATCAAGCTCCCGTTCAGCATTTGTCCTTTTATCTTCTCAGCAAAGTAAACAGCCTTGACATTTGGACCTGAAATACGGCTTATGCCGTAGGCAACGGTGCAAAGAAGAGATATTATGCTGAGGTGCATGTTTAGTCTTCACTTTCAGAAAGAATATGATGAAAAAGAATGAGTTATTTCATTTCTATTTTCTTAACTAGATGAGCAAGTGCAAGAGAATTGCGACAATGAAAACAGTACAAGCATTATGTTTTGTTAGCCTGCTGCTAAGCTGGTTGTAATTTCCGGTAAATTAGTGTTAACAACTGAGTTCAAAATATAAATTGAAAGGCTAATTCAACCACCATCGAATAGTCGAAAATCTTCAAATGATTCAGTTATAAGCGGAGAGTCCCCGGCTTACTCGGTGGAGTTGTAAATCGAATGATTAAAAATGTCCTACAATCCAAACGGCGGCGACGAGTTAAAATTATTCACAGTACTCAGGAAAGATGTTTGGGAATTGGTATTTCATGAATTGGAATCGTATGCCTCAGAAAAATGCAAAAACGACAAGCTACCTGTCTGCAATAAACAAAACTCGCTACGTTTACATTTAAACAATGACAAGAAATAAACATTGATGGCGCAGTTTTTAGATTCTTTTTCTGGAAAGATGTTTGAACTTCACTGATATTTGTCACGATTTATTTCCTTTCCTTTAGTCTAGAATATTCCCAACACATCTTAAAAAACCCTAGGGGTAGTCTGAAACAGGTGGTGGATAACAAAAACTTTTTTATTATCTATCAGCCATTGAACCGTCAGTTTAGGAGGAAACAGCTAATCGGAAAATTATTGTGAAGTATTATGCGTGTGTTTAAACGTCACAAATTACTATTGTTGTTAATAGGTTGCAGTCACTAATCGTGATGAAAACAGTTGTTTACGATGTGAATCGAACGTGCATACAGGATACACCCGCCGTTGTGTTCTTTGATCGTTGAAACCACGCGGTCAGATGCGATCGATCGAAACGTCGCGATCCAAACTGACCCCATTGTGGACAAAACGATTTTAATTCTTTACCAATTCTTAAACTTTTTCAATTTTCTGCAAAACTTTGATCCACTTAGTCTCACATAGAGGATTCTCTGGTGTTAATCTAAGAGTAAATATTCATTATACATTGAAGACAATGCCTGTTATGTTTCTTTTCCTTCATTAAAATTCTTACTTCGACTTAATTTTGGCGGAGAAGAAGTGATATTATGCTGAGATGCATGTTTAGTCTTCACTAACAGAAAGAATATGATGAAAGAGAATGAGTCATCTCATTTCTATATCCTAACTGTATAAGCAGGTGCAAGAATATTGCGAGAATGAAAATAGTACAAGCAGTATGTTTTGTTAGCCTGTTGCTAAGCTAGTTGTAATTTCCGCTAATTAAGAGTTAACAACTGAGTTGATAATGTAAATTGAAAGGCTAACTCAACCACCGTCGCATAGGCGAAAATCTTCAAATGATTCAGTTATAAGCGGAGAGTCCCTGGCTGACTCGGTGGAGTTGTAAATCAAATGATTAAAAGTGTCCTACAATCCAAACGGCGACGAGTTTAACTTGTTCACAGTCTTCAGGAAAGATGTTTGGGAGTTGATATTTCATGAATTTTGAATCGTATGCCTCAGGAAGAAACGCAAAAGTAACGAGCTACTTGTCTGCGATAAACAACGGCAAGAAATAAACATCAATGGCGCAGTTTTTATATTTTCTTTCTGACATTTTTTCCATTTTCTGCAAAACTTTGATCCATTAGTCTCACATAGAGGATTCTGTGGTGTTAATCAAAGAGTAAATATTTATTATGCACTGAAGACAATAACTGTTAAGTTTACTTTACTTCACTAAAAATTCTTACTCCGACTTGATTTTGGCGGAGAGACCCGACAACAATAATTTGCATGGCAGGGTAATTAAGTGTAATCAACTGAGTCGATAACGTAAATTGGCCACCGTAAAGAGTTTAAAGGCTTTAAAGGCTAGCGTTTCCAGCGTTAGCCCTTCGTCAGAGCGTTTCCAATCGCTCTGACGAAGGGCTAACGAAGCTCTTTACGAAGGGCTAACGTTCGAAACGTCAGCCTCTAAAGCCTTTAAACTCTTTACTGTGGCCAATTAACGTTATCAGCATAGTTGATTACACTAAATTACCCTGTTATGCTCTGCCACCGACGCAGCACCACAGTTTCTTTAGAAACTTACCCCAATTATTAATTTGCATGACAGTCAACTTCCTACATCATATGCCAGAAAACAACATATGCCTCAAAACAACATTAGGTGACTGACTCAAAACTTGTGAACTACTGATGAGTTAGCCTGCAGAGCAGGCGTAATTTTGGCGAGCGAGTGCTCAGTATTTTCTTAACGAAAATTATGGCCGCCATCTTTGATTTTAATGGCAGCGGAAGGCTGGGAAAAAAAAAATAAATTTGTGACAAGCTATGGCAGTCAGCTGTGAGAGCTTCATGGTTCTGTAGATAGAACACAACCTACATGAAAATTCTTCTCACAAACCTACATGTATGCCTGAATTTTCGCGATTTTTTGTTTTCCTAACCATTAGACCCCTTAGAGTGACAAGCTTCTAATTTTTCCCATGAATCAAAGAGTATGGAATAAAGGAAATGATCATAAGCTCAAGCTTCTCGTGATTGTTAGAAAAATTATCCTTGCAAGTACTATGAGAAATGTTTCGAGAACACTATAGAGAAGTTGCATACTAATGTTGAGGCATAAAGAACTAATGATCGACTCATCATTTAGATAATATTAAACCTGCAACCATCATTTGTGGCTTCTTGAACAATAATAAGAAAATCTATCTTAACTTAAAGTCCGTTATTTGTCCTTTCCAAAAGATATTTTTAATTCAGGTTGAAGAGTTGGCGTCGTCTTTCTCGAAATATGGACTCACTTGCAGAACCAATTGTTCAACTGCGGAGGCGATTTCCACAAACGAAGTCTTCAAATTTCTGCTCGCTGAAACCCACCGTTCCTGCAGATCTCTTTTAAAGTTACGCCTCTTTCATAGCGTTTAAATCGGTTCTAACTTTGTGCTCTGCCATTCTGAGCTATTACTGCTCTTGTAGGATTCGCAGAATTTCCCACTTGCGTTACTTGAGGTTACAAAAATCGCTACGCAATACGATACACTACGAATAGAATTAAGGCTTGCTTACGCTGTACAACGATTCGTTGGCACAAATTTCCTATCAAACGTGGGTTTATTTGACAATCTGCGGGTAGTGGGTAGTTGACTCAATGTCCGAACTTTAGCGGTTTGTTTACATCAAAAGTCACGTGATACTACACGTGAAATCCAAAGCCTAAAAGCTAAATTAGATCATTCATTTTTTAATTACAGCCAATAGGTACTCTGTCATAGCTTCTCTTGTCCCCAAAATTTCAAAAACAAAAAAATGCTGAAGCCGAAGTTTGTCCGAACTTTCGCGGTTTGTTTTCATCAAAAGTCACGTGATACTAAACTTGAAGTCTATAGCCTTAAAGGTAAATTAGTCCATTGATTATATAATTACAGCCAATAAGTACTCTGTCATGGCTTCTTGTGTTCCGAAAATATCCCTGAGGCTTATTTAAGGCTTTGAGTGTTTCTTTCCATTAGCCGGCCTCGTGCATTGTGCTTAATTACATCATAGAACGAGAAAATATAGATGAATATGAGCCATTTATCAGGAAATAATATATTAAAAGTAAAAACCAAACGTTTTCGACACAAGGTTATCATCAGGGTATATAAACACCATCCGCCAAAGTGATGATATTTTATATTCCTAAGTAATTCCCGATGGGAGGAGTTTCGCGACGAGTTTTTTTAGGGAAGAGGCAGAGAGCACGTTTGAAGAGAAGTTTACTACCTGATATATTTTTGCACGCCCGTAAATAGCTCATTTTTCGACCTTAGCGAACTTTATAGACATAGATGAATATGTGTCTATCAATCTTCATTCAAATGTTATTTTCACTCTTGACTTCTTTATTTATTAACTTTCTTTCTCAAGTTAATTAATGTTGCGGGTAAGTGATGCTCAACTGTTTGTCCCTCGCGTCAGAAATGACAGCACGAGCTGTTTACATTTTTGTTCATAAGTTTAGTGCCATTTGCCGGTTCCTCCTCTCACAAAAATAATTATTTGAGTCCCAACAAAGTGGAAAAAACACCTCGGGTCTAAAAGTGTTCATGGAACTAAAAGACAGAAAGAATTGTTTAATAGGCGACTGAGTCAGAAGAAATTAAGAGCTCAATTCAGGTCCTGCGTGCAAAATCTAGGCCTAAAATTATTTTTCTCGGGGCTGTGCGTGTAGCCTGCAATTAAACTTCGTTTTACGGAAGACAGAGTCAATATGCCGGTTCAGGTTTCTGCAACTAGAGGAATGTTTGAACAGTTTAAAGATGTCGACACACCGTTTTAATGGGCAGATGTTGGATAAGTTGACTGTTGATATCAAACAAGTAGTTGAATGACTGCTCATGTTTATTTTCCGGTGCAAATGTGTAAATATTATATCAAAGGAAGTGCTTTTAATTCGTAATCGGCTTTAAAGTGCATACGAGTTATTGAATCGCTGTAATTTAGAGACTAGTTCGGGGCATTTGAACTTTTAAAGATTTGCTCCTTCAAATTCCCGTCCCCCGGGGCCAAAATTGTGTTCAAATGCCTTACTAAAGAACCGGATTTGATGGTCTATTTTTTTATAAAAGGCAAAATCAGCGACTGTAACTTTCTTGGAGACCTTTTCTTCTCAGCCATCTGCTCGCGAAAGTGAACTCTTTACCTTTAAACAGCTCCATATTAAAAGATAAAACATGTGCATTCCGCCGGAGGAACTTGACAGATCCGGTTCAAATTGCCCACCCACCCGGGAAAGGTTCAAGTTCCCCGCTCCCAGGAAAGAACGACATTCAAATGCCCGTGTGTTGCTTAGGGGGATTGTTGAAGTCTTGATTTGATTGGCGCTTTATCCTGGGATAGACATTGTCTCATGCCTTGGTTTTTCACTTTCATCTCGGTGCGTTTTAGCGAGCAACGATGGCCTCTGAAAGAAGGCCAGTTGACCCCATCAGCATTAGACACATGGGAGCAATTGAGGCACAGTCTGTTCAGATGAGATTGATGGCAGCTTTTGTACCGCCAGAGAACTCCATATTACTGAAATGAAATGAAATTTCAGGTAAGCTCGTTTTCACCATGTTTAGACAGATAGAAAGCAATAATCATTTATTTATTCATTTATTTACGATATTTATACAGTTAGCACCAGTCAACTTTAACGTTGGTTTGAATGGTAGCTTTTAGAAACTAATAGTAAGGCCAGACCACAACACCGGAAGCTTCGCTCCCTTCTCTTTGCGAGGACTTTGTGTGTTCTCTAACATTCCCTGCCAACCAGGACAGAGAAGATGCAGGAGACGGGGCCTTCGGTTTATCGTCCTTTTTCGAGAAGCTTTGAACGTTTATCCATTTGTAAGTTCATAGAAAAGCCGGCATATTTTAAGACTCTGAGTGTTGGTCTGGTTTGGGGCTTCAGCCCTGATCCTCCCGTACAGTAGTCTAGGTTATCGGATGACGTAATCAAGTCACGTGACCAAGGAGATTGGAACCTCGCTCCTCACGCTCATTTCTCGAATGATCTCAGAAAAGTGTTGAGATGTCAATCTCACGCAAGTCTTCGGAAATTGTGGGAACATTTTCTGTCCTCACATGTTACTAGAAGTGTACGTTGATGGAGTTTGTTTAAGGCTCATGAAAGTCTCTTAGTTTATCAGTTTCTCGCGTTTATAAAGTTAGGGCCTTTCTGCACAAGCGAAAAAGGTTTTTATTTAAACAAATTTCCTGTCATCATCAACATTTTACAAGAGCAGCTGGATTGTTGCGACTTGACAAATTTTGGCCGAAGCGGACAAATCTTCAAACGCACCGCCGTTGTATCTTTCAAAAACTGCACCCCTAATCGAAACATGCCTCCCGCGGCTGGAAATGGATACTCTCTTAGACGACATAATACCTTTCTTACCTATGTACCAGCATAGAGTCACCAGCAGTGCCCTTGTATCCTTCAACAAAAAGCCAGTACTTGTCAGCTTCGTCTGTTACATTAAAATCCGTGTACTCAGCGTACTTGATGTTCCCTTCGAAGTCTACCAGGTCAACTCTCAACATAACGTCATCAGCGGCTGTTAAACGGGAAGATTATCGTTTTCAAACCAGAACTCTCCGCTCAGAGTCCCAAAGCCGTTTTTGTAAGATTCCTATTTAAGATATAGAGGTCAACAGAGCCATCCAAGCGTCACCGTCTGTGATCATGTCACAACAACCCTTGGATTGGTTTGCCGCCATCTGGATTGATGGTGTACACGCCACTACAATTAAAACCATTTTGAAACAATTGAGAGCAGCTTTTTGGTTCTATTACGAGGAAAAAAAAGAACCTGTTCAAGATCGCTTCTTTATATGATAATTGAGGCTTTTCCATGCTTAAGCAAAGCGACATATACCTACCGCAAGGTTTTCCTGTGAAGCCATGCTTACACTGGCATCGAACACTGTCATCTTGATAGTTGGGAACGCATATACTATGATCACCACATTGGAAACTGTCCTCGTCACACGGGCTTTAGAGAGAAAAGTTGTGTCAAGTAAACTCCTACACATCTATAAGTCAAAGGAGTTCATTTCTTTCAATGGCGCAGGGATATTCGAAGGATGGACACTCATGTTGTCACGGACAGGATTTGCACAAACTACTTTGCGATATGGTTTCGGCTTGTGCACCCTGTAATGATGATGATGATGACGATGATGAAATTATGATGAACAGTAGTTGTTATTTTATCACCGCCACAATCATTACTTTTATCAGTATCTTTTTATCATCACTGACGATGACTGTAGCCATTAGTGGGTCTCCTTAATCTCTGTCCATGAAAACCAAGTCTTGCTACAACATGCGACAATTTTATTACGAAGCGCAACAGAAGACACATCCTTTCCTTTTGGATATCAAAAGGCGACTAGTTCACACGCAAGATTAACGTCATAAGAAAAGCGAGAATTAAGGCTCTATATGTGCCACTCTCTATCAGACTGATTGACTGTCTGTAACAGCCTCTCATCCGGTATTCATCGCCAAAATGACCTCAAAGTCATTTGAATAATTTTTTCACGAAAACCTAACTGTTTTTGTTAGTCAAGTCTCTTTCCCCTAACGCCAACAGCGGGAAATTTCCATCACGATTACTGTCGGATCTTCTTATGTCGATAAGTTAAAGCGTGGGACAAAGTAACTTTCGTCAAGGGGAAAAACAGTGAGAAATGAAAATTTAAATAGTTTAACGTTAGTAAGGATTTCCAAGAAACTTCGCCTCGATTAAACATAAAATGACAGATTTTTCTCACCTTCATTCCCTTGTAAATAAAACTTTTATCCTCAAAGAACTTAGCAAATCCATCAAATCGATCAGAGTCGCTTAGTTGACACTTAAATTTGTTGGAGTCTCCCTCTATGGTTCCAAAGTTGTAAGACTGACATCACTCTTCATACACACACTCAAACTGACAGGAACTTTCCGAATCCACTTCTATATCTCTTATCAGGCTTCCTTTCAGCTTTTGTCCGTTTATCTTTTCAGCAAAGTTAATTGCCTTGAAATTTGGACCTGAAATACGGCTCATGCCGTAGGCAAAGGCGCAAAGAAGAGATATTACGCTAAGATACATGTTTAGTCTTCACTGTCAGAAAAAGATAAAAGGAATGAGTTATTTCGTTCTATTTCCTAACTAGATAACCAGGTGCAAGAAAATTGCTAGAATGAAAACAGTACAAACAATATGTTTTGTTAACTTTCTGCTAAGCTGGCTCTAATTTCCGGTAATTTAGGTTTATCAACTGAGTTGAATACGTAAATTGGGACCGTAATGAGTTAAAAGGCTGACGTTTCGAGCGTTAGCCCTTCGTCAGAGCTCAGACGAAGGGCTAACGCTCGAAACGTCAGCCTTCTAACTCATTACGGTGCCCAATTTACGTATTCAACTCAGTTGTTAACACTAAATTACCTGTTGTTAGGGAAGTAAAAAAGGAACAATCCAAAAATATTTTGCAAATCCAAAAAATATTTAGAATCGATATCTAATAGACAAATCGCTTTTGGAAAGTTTGTGAAATCGAGGGAACAATTTCAAATCCTGGTTTTATTATTTTATAAACTAATTTGAACTTATTATAATTCAATTGGATTGGTATTTTGTTTTTGAAGTTGTTAAAGTTTACTTAGAGTATCGTCATACACCGTTTTAATAGGCAGATGTTGGATAAGTTGACTGTTGATATCCAATAAGTAGTTGAATGATTATTCATGTTTATTTTCCGGTGCAAATGTATGAGTATTATATCAAAGGAAGTGCTTTGAATTCGGGATTGGCTTTAAACTGCATACGCGTCATTCAGCTGCAGCAATTTAGAGATTAGTTTCTGGTATGGTTGTTAGCGTAAACGGAGATGACCTACTTCGAATTCAAATATATGCCAAAACTAATTTGCTTTTAAATAGATTCTACCCCTTTTTTGGAGGTGCTTATTCTGTTACTCTGTTAAAAACAGAGTAACAGAATTTCGGGGGCAGTGCTGTCTATTATATTTCGTGGCTTTTAACTTGAATGAGACTGAAATTTAGGCAACCTAAAGTATGATGAGCCCATGCAAGATTTACAGAGGAGCGGACGCGTATTTACGAAGTATCTCTACGAGAACATAAGGAAAAAATTTCATCTGATGCAAGCTTTAAAGTAAAAGTTTAAGAAAACCTTATGAGCTATCTTCTTCAATTGGTCGACAGTTGGAGAATTCTTTTTATACAAAGACGCTTACGCTTTCGGAGATAAAAAGGGAATAAGGAGTGAGACAATTATGATAGTTGACCATTTTCAAGTCAACTTAGCTATATCGCAGGGCTTATTTTTGTGCAAAAAAAAATCGACGTCCAACAAACAAATGAATTTTTAAATGATAGGAATGCACTTCTGTTCAAAGCTTTCAAAACAAAAAAACTTAATTGCGTGAGATGGGAACTATATACCACATAAAAGTATAAAGCAAGCAAAAATTTAGTGAGATAAGGGTCAATGATTATATTATGTTATTTATAACTAATTAAAACATCACTATTACTAATATTATTTTTTACAGTATGATGATCACTCTATTTCGCGATAATGTTTCCGCAGCAAATATTTACTCAGCACGTCTTACAGGTTTTTTTAGCTGCTTTTACTCCATGAAAACGAATGTAACCACTTTGAAGAAAACTTCACGAAAAAAGTCCCTAAAAAATAAGAAACTTAAAAATCAAACAGAGCAAAACAAAGTAGAAAGGTTTTCGGATAGATAGGGGAACACAAAAGCTTCGTCAAGAGAAGGGAGTTCGCTATATTCCTTTAGTTTTTCCTTTTAAATCTGGTGTGCCCCTAATTTTTTAAAATGTTCTATTACGGAATGTTATTGGTGACTTGGTTACTCGGAAAACGTCATCGACCTTAGTAAGACCCCGACAGACTATTTTCAAGAGTACAATTTACTTGCTCAATAAGAGGGGGGTGGGGGTGAGGGGGCGAGGGAAGTGTGAAAGCTGACACGGCCGACCGCCCCAATTCAACTATAAAGAAACATTACAATTTGTGACCCCAATTTGATGGTGGATGTGCCATTAACAACCGATTTTCATTTGTTTCCCACCCATCTTGTCGCTGTACTAAAACTTTCGCTTTATCAATTGGTTAATCAATAAATCAATCAACATCAATTAACACTTTATTTACCATAAGTTAAAAAGTTAAAAGCAACAGAGCTGATATGGACTTGCGTGTACGACATACAACAATACTCTATTAGTTAAAAGTTCTAAGGTAAATCAAAATGCTTGTAAATAGTGGTCAATAATAAATGTAATCTTGGTATGTGTTCGAGATTGTAAAGGCTTCCTTCTGAAATAACATGTTGACGATTATATTCTAGGCTAAAAGCCCTCTAAATCTTAGAGAGGTTCTCCCTAAATCTACGTTATGATGTGGTAATTTAAAACTTGGGGAGTTGCATAAATTATAATTAGAACTACTACTCTAGATCTAATTAAAAAGACAGAATATCATCTGCCTCCATATCATTATCTACCTTGTATATAAATAAAAGCAATTAGCCAGTCTCATACATATTTAAATATGAATCCCACACAGTCAAAGATAGAACATCCTGAGTGTCCCAAGGCAGTCTATGTATGATTTTAGCAGCACATACATGCATATACACAAGGTTTAGCGTTAATGATGGGGAGCATGTGCCCCATAGTAAATTGTAGTAAGTAACTGTGAGGACTATACAAGTGAAATAGATACTTTCTATTAAATTTTAAGTAGGTCCAGGGCTTTTTTAACTTTGGTGAATGACAAAACATGGATGCAATAGACGGTTTTTATCAATAAAAAAAATTATGGCATCGTTTACTATAAGGTACACCTAAATACTGATCCATTAGTAGAAATTGCATTGAAGCTACTAACAAAATTCAATTTAGTGCATGGTGTCATCATATATACGTATCAGCTTGCTGACTTAGGTTAAGCACGGGCTTCAGTTGAAATCGTTTTCTTGTCGGTCAAGTGTCGATCAATTCAAAAGCTTCAACATCCCCCCCCTCGAAAAACTCCTCGGGCATTCGTTCAAATTCCCGTCTCCCGGGCCAGAATTATGTCCAAACACCCTACTCAAGTGCCAGATTTGATGGCCAATTTTTTTGCAAGAGACAAGATCAGCAGATATGACCCTCTTGTAGACCTTTTCTTCTGAGCCATTTCTTGCGAAAGTGAACTCTTTACCTTTAAACAACTCCATATTAAAAGATAAAAAACGTGTATTCCACTGGAGGGACTTGACCAACCCACCCAGGCAAGGTTCAAGTTCCCCACCCTTTAGAAAGAACGAAATTCAAATGCCCAAGCGTTGCCTGGAGGGATCTTAAGGTCTCGATTTGATTGGCGCTTTATCCTGGGTGAATATTGTCCTATGCTTTGGTTCTCACTTTCATCTCGGTGCGTTTTAGTGAGTAATGATGGCCCCTGAAAGAAAGCCAGTTGACCCCATCAGCGTAAGACACATGGGAGCCATTGAGGTACAATCCGATCAGATTGGAGTGATGGCAGCCTGCGTACCACCAGGCTCCCTTGTAATATTGGGAGCAGTGGCTGCTAGCTGGATCACTGTCTTGATCATTCGTAGAAAACCCCATATTGCTGTAATGAAATCAAATTTCAAGTAAGCTTGTTTTCACTATGTTTAGACACATAAAAAGCAATAATTTTTCTTTTATTTATACACGATATTTATACAGGCTGACCAAGTTCAGCTTTAAAGCTGGTTTGGAGGGTAGCCTATACAAACTAATGACAACTAGGCCAGACCACAACATCAGGAACTTCGTTTCCTTCTCTTTGCGAGAAGTGTGTGGGTTCTTGAACATCCCCTGCTAACCAGTAGAAAGAAGATGCAGGAGATGGGGCCCACGGTTTATCGTCCTTTTTCAAGAAGCTTTGAACGTTTATCCATTTGCGGGTGTTAAAGCAAAGGCGGCACATTCTTGGCAGTCTTGGTTATCGGATTACGTAATCAAGTTACGTGACTTATCAGATCGGAACCTTGAGAAACTGTTGAGATCTCAATCTTACTGAAGTCTCACATACTACTGGAAGTCTATGTTGATGTGGTTTGTTTGAGGCTCCCGAGAGTGTTTTGGTTTATCAGTTCCTTGAATATATAAAGTTAGGGCCTTTCCGCACTAGCGAATAAGTTGTTTTCTGTCATCATCAACATTTCACAAGTGCAGATTGTTTGTCGCGACTTGACAAATTTTGTTCAAGGCGGACAAATCTTCAAACGCACCGCCGACAATATTTGTCCCGGGTAAAAACTGAACAAAATCGACTTAATAAACAAAACCGTGAGAAACTTGTCGATCATTTGTCGTAAAAGTTACGACCAGCGTGTAATTGAATTGAAAGCAGTATAGTAGGAAGGCAATAATTGTCTTTTGTTGCAAAACACGGGGATTAAAATTTTTAAAATGGCTTGTACGAATCCAAGAAATTGGAGGTTTAATCCTTTGGCAAACTTGGCTGGCCGGTCTTATGAACACATCAGGCATTGACGGAATTTTTGGACGGTTTTCAAATTTTTTTGATGCGGATGCAACAGACGAAATAAAAATTTTACATGACAAATTTTTCCTTTGATTTTTTCGGAACAATTCTAGTTTTGCCCGTTTGCGATTGTGATTGTGACTATTCAAAATTTAAACAAAGATGGAGACCAATAAAACATTAAACTCCCAAAATAAACATCAAAGCCATACGTTTTCCTT